TTTGTTTAGTGTATGTTCACTGGTGTTAATATGTCTTTTGATTAAGTTAAGCCATTTCAATTGATATTTTATAGTGTGTCTTTCTATGTTGTGATGTTACACTATTTTTTCAGATAAGGGTGAAGGTTTGGTACCATTAAAACGTTTAAACCCGCTGCAATTGTTTGCACCTGTCCTTAGTCAAGAATCTGATGTTCAGTAGTTGTCGTTTGTTGATGTGGTTCTTAAGTGTTTCTCGTTTCTCGTTTTTTATATAGATTAGACCGTTGGTTTTTCCGTTTGTATGGTTTTACACTAGTAATTTTTGGGGCCCTTTATAGCTTGCTGTTCGGTGCGAGCCAAGGCTCCGTGTTGAAGACCGTATTGACACAGGTACAGAATATTTTGAAACCATCATGTAGTTGACTAGAAAATAGAATTTTTGAATGAAATCGAAAGTTAGCTGTCGACATTTATGGCGAAAATGAAGAAGGCGCTTTCTCCTGTGTCTTTTCACAGACACATGTTTTCGATTTATGTTTTTGCGATTTATTGAGATTCTTCACCATACGGCCTACATCTGAAATGCGATTGAAAACAAACCATTTTGGTGGCTCGGGAAAATACTACTTCACGGAAGATTCCAATGCTTCCTGTGGGGTTATAAACACAGCTGGAAAATTCTATGACATCTAAAAGACATATTAGAATTTCAGTTAGAACCCAGCTCAAGCTTGTGTGAACTTTCCCGTTCTTAGTCATTTCTATCTACAACAAATTCCGATTAGTAAAATGATACTGGTTGCATCATGGGCGGCGGAACAGTGGAAGGTCTGTTGTTCCAAACCACGTTGCACCTCCAAGAAGGGAAGGGAGCAAGATCGCAAATGCCACCGACTTTTCGAAAATAATGTTGCAAACGTCTGAGGACATGTCTTATATTTTGTTTTAATGAAACATTTGTTTACAATGTTTAAGAGGTAAAACAGTAACTATGATAACTGATGTTGGTATTATTTCGTTGTCAATGATGTACACGACAATATGTCCCAGATATATCTATCTAATTCTTTACACCATGCAACATATGTTTCAGAAAGATACCTTACTATTTGTTAATCTTCGTTACAACTTTTAGTTTCACGTTAAACCAATGTTGTGCGAAAAAAAACTAAGATCCTTTTCATTTGATACTCCCAAACAGGAGATTGGCGTTTGTATGTATTTGTTTCCAAAAGATTTGAAATCAAGCACCCGTGATGCAAATTGTTCCAGAAATAAGAGTCATGCGCACTGCAATCAATACCAAATAAAATAAGAAGGTGTCAATGAGATAGAACACAGATAAGGATGTTAACCACAATTGATCAACATATAGCATTCAACAGTAAGTAAAAGCAACATATAGCATTCAACAGTAAGTAAAAGCAACATATTATGGTAAGCTATGAAGACCCCTCATTAGCAAAAAGGAAATAATTCAAAAGTAATAACGATTGGCCTGGTTTAAGTTGATAAGATTATATGAAAAAAAATTATGACAAAAAAAAAGGAGCTTGTGAAAAGTACACAATTAATATGTCGTACATAATACGACTGTAAAGCTTTATTTAAAGTGGGTATGAACACAGCAATTACAAACATATTAAGCTCTGGAGAGCTTTTAAAACACAACGAAAGAAAAGCACATCAAACAATACATACACTTATTTGAAGCATGTGCTTATGGGGTAAAAACTTATGAGCAAATTCTAAAATAAAAATGGTTTTACAACATAAAAAAACACGTAGAGATTATTTAAATAACTAAAATAAGCAAAACATTAGCAAAGCACTATAAGTAAACAAACATGTCCCATGCTGAAAACAGCATACAACTAAGAACATGAACAGGATTAACTGGTTTTGCAGACAAATCGCTGACATGAGCTGCCAGACCAAGAATTCATCAAGTTTTGGAATTGTTTTAAGGATGATTGCTTACGAAGCTCATCTGCATGGCAGCTCATTCTAAAGTTTAGCACTCGCATACCTTGAAGATTGTAGACCATATGATTTCATTCAGAGTTCTAATTCTTAAAGATGGTAATTTAGATTTGCAAAGCAGTCATAATTGCTTAATAGTCTTCATAAATAAATCTGAGTGTTCTCTCTCGAATTTTCTTTTTTTACCGGAGTTCAGCATGTTTTGTATTCACAAAATATAGATTTCAAAATTGTTTAACTCGAAGCGTTGACCTGAGTATAAAATTATGGCCATGACTTGATTTCTCTCACCCGCATTAAAACCATCATTAAAACCATAATGCTAAAGAGGGGCGTCTGTTTGGCAGTGCAGGATGTGTAAGTTCGCAGCAGCGTCCGATCAGAATGGGATTTTTATAAATCACATCCAATGCATCGTGTAAAACAGAGACGCGCTCCTTGCACGGTTTAATAAAACCTTGCCATTATCTTGAAAAATATTATACATGTTATAGATAGAGTGATCGGTAAGAAAAGTTAATTAATATATTTTATGGTCAACATGACCAAATGTGTTAGTCGACTTCCTTTGTGCTGTTTCCCTTAAAGGGCGATTTTAACAATTATTTATTTTTTCGTTTTTGACTCTGATATTGAAAACTATTAAAGCAAAAATAGAGAGTAATTTAAGTTGCCAAGAATGATCAGCAAGAAAAGATCCTCAAGTGACCGTCGACTTTTTCATATTTTTCACGTTTTTGGTCGAAACTTTAGTTGATACAGAGGAACTGTATTTAGCAAAAAATAATCAGCAGGGTCAAACGGCCGAAATTACCAGTCGACACTTTACATGAGCTATTGTCCTAAAATAACGAGTTTTGAACTTTTTTTTTACATTTTTTACGCTTAACTCGAAAAACTATATAATAAATAGATATTATTAACAAGTTCAGTCAAATTGATTGAAATCGTCATGACTTGTTGCCCTGGATTGCCATTTTAATCCATTGTTCCTCCGGCCGATCCTTTTTCCCGATTTTTCCTTTTTTCGTGAAAACTATAACGGATAATTAAATAAAAACTATGTCGAACAAAATTATCAAGTCAACATGTTGGACCACATCTTTAAACTTCCCTTATTCATCTCAATAATTCTTGTTGCGTTATATCAATTTTATGCAAAAATGTTTTTAGTTTGGGTAATTATGGAATTAAGTATAATGGTCTCTTAAATACCACATTTCAAATCATCAAATATATATATATTTCAGGTGCTGGTTAATGTCAGTGAGACCATAATTGGCATAGTCTAGATAAGGTTAGAGGGGGTGGACATGCAGCTTTTGAGCCTGGGAGGTTGGGGGGGGGGGGGGGGGGGGGGGAGGTGGGAGACAAAAAATGGGTGGGAGAGAAAAAAAGATTCTAAAAGTGGGAGGTGGGAGATAGGGGCGGGAGGTGGGAGAAGGGTACCCCCTGTCCACTCCCTCAGGTTACACGAACACGCCATATCCAGAAATCAACGCCATTTTGCTTATTTGAATATTATACTTAAGAAATCGGATACGGGTCACAGAAATTATATTGAAATGATAGGGAATTTTGAAAAAAAATGTCTGTTTTAACTTTAATTTAAGTGATAGACAGGTTGCGGGGACAGAAAATAAATATACACAACAATATACACCATTTAAACGAAACATAATGACTGTCGTTGCAAAAATCAAGGTTCCTGAGCTATTTTAAAAATCGAAGCGAGAGGCTTTTAACATTGCAGTATAAAATACAGGCTAAAATGGCTGAAACGTCAAATTTGCAAACTTCGTGTTGAAAATTGGCTAACAAGGTCATTACAAAAAAAGGTTGCGGGGATGAAACTTGAAACTTGAATGGCCAAAGAATAAGCAAGTCCAAACCTTGTATGTGTAGTCGTTGAACTAGGTTCCCACGTAAAGTTAAAATGTCCCTATTTCAAGAAGAATAAACTCACGAAAACACGAAAAATTCACTAAATTCGCGTTCATTGTTTTGATTTTGACCGCCTGACAACTTTAAGGAAATATCAGAGTGATTATAAACAAGGACTCTTAGACGGGCAACTTATAATATCCGTGTTTTAAAGATTTTATGATATCAAGCCAGTCCAGTTCAAACTATTATCACGTGGTACAATTCTCATTTACATATTATGAATATTAATTAGCAAAAGTACTACTAATTTCTGGCTATGCAAACAACTCCCCTGCATGATTCTCTCAGTGATCCACTACGAGTGATGCAAAACAATGTTTTATTGACTTGCACAAGAGAGACATTATGCCAAAACAGAAATGTTAATGAGAAACTTTTTTTAATTTTTGAACTTAACCAGTCCCTGATAATATAATGACATCAGAGGCGGATCAAAGGTGTCCGATGTTTGGACCCCCCTGCCCACGGTTTGTTTGAACCGACTTATGTTTTTGTATGGGGCATATGGTTGGAACCCATCTTCTTATATGACTTGCACGTGTTGAAACCCCCTTTTTGGATCCGCGCCTGCTTATTTGCATTCTAAATATCAATGACAAAGATGTATTTTTAATAACTCTATACTGTATAGATCTGTATAGTCCTAATAAAAGTATTTACACTTTTGGTATTTAGCTAGATTTTGCCTCCGAATGACCTTAGATCTACTCCGAATCACATTTTGACGTCAGGCAACAATCACTTTTTAATTGTGACGTCAAATGTTTTGAATTATGATGTCAAAGTTTACGGGAACCTGTGTGATTTTACGTAATGGCGGACAAATTTGCATACAAGTGGACATCTGATATTTCTATCTGTGTTATAATAATCTAGGTTGACATATACCTCTTTTTGTTGATATATTTGTACTAAGATGTACATAGATGTCTGTTTCTCTAGTGTTTTATGATAAACCTGACTGTTAATCTATCTTATCTTTAATATCTAGATTTAATTTTCCGGATTAATATGTAAATACAATCCGTGATTGATTTTGAATTTTCCCATACACCATTTACTTCCGTTTGTTTTCCAGCTCACAGACAAAGCATTTCTCAAGAAGCGAGCATCAAAACTGAAGTGAAATTACATCTTACGACCATTTATTTTATATCAATGAATTATTTTGAAATTTTTTAATTGGTAAAAATAAAAACTAAGCAGTTGTTACCCGTGAAAGAAGACTGTGTAAGATATATCAAGATCTCCTGTGGCGGGTCAACAAATAAATTTATTTACAAAAGGGCACATATTTATATTGTATGCAGAAACTTTTCCTAAAGAACTATACATCTTTCTGGTATTATATTGTCAAAACATGACCATGAATTTTGTAATATTCATGGACTTCAATCTTCTTCATTATTAAAAATAACTGGACCTCTCTTTCAGAAAAGTTGTTCCAAATATAATGAATGTTTCCCCTTTTAAGTTAAAAAAGCTAAGTTTTTCTTTTTTCTTTTCTACAACAGCAAAATGACCCCTTGTCTGAGGGACAGTCCCTGATTTAAGGGATATCCCTCATTTGGAGGGGGGGTCCCAACCTGTTATGGGGTACATTTGTACAACAATTTCCCAAGAACTCCCACAAATGCAAAATGAACCCGAGAACTAATAGATATTACCCGAAAACATCATTCTATATGGAGTAAGACTGCTTTTACTGATAATTAAGTGTATAATTTTAGATATATGTCATTTTTACAATTTAACTTAGAATTTTGATTTGTGTTTCTTGTATAACAATATAGTGGATGTAACTATAAAATCACATGTCAGATAGGCTCACTACACTGGGCAAAGTGAGCAAGAATTTTGCCCTAGGATTCAACTTGCCTCTAAAAAAGCATCACGGAAAAGTTTGTGTCCTCCTCAATTTTCAAGAAAATTCCCCAGTGTCGCCTCATGATTTTTGAAAATTGTAGATCTGAATGCACATGATTCTGATTTTCAACGAAATTAGCATGTTGCTTCATATAACCATGGTAAAAATGATCCATCTTTTATATATTATTTTTAACCTATTGTTGGGCCTGGTCCCATCACAAACTGTTGAACATATTGGTGGTAACCGTTACTACATTTGTACATGTATGACATTCCTCAGTCATTTTTGTCAGTAGCTAGCTTAAGAACCAAATCAATGTTTTATACAAATACCTATATGGCACGTATGGAATTTTCATGAACTAATCAAAGAAATATATTGAAATTGCTGTCATGTTTCAGATGTTTTGAAGACCCCCAAGTTAAAAGATCAAATGGTTATAAAGTAATCAGCTTGCAAGTCTGTCTTGTCACAAATCTTTTCAGCTTTCTAAGTTTCAAACCCCTTGGAGTTGGGTAACGAAAAACTTGTATAAGTAAATTTTTTTTACAATCCCACAAAAATTCTCAAGTTTTGAGATGTTAAAACATGCCTTTAATGATTTTTCCCAGGTTAGCTTATAATTTTTTATTAGAGTTCAATGTTTCATCTCATTAATTCAACAAAGAAACTGATTGCGCAAAGATCTTAAGTATTTGCGCAAGGCCTTCATAAATTGCTCCTTGGGGGCTTGTAAATGAGCAGTGTTCTGAAGATGTCCATGAAATTACTCTTAAATGATTAGTTAAGACATCTGCAAAGGACAGACAATTTAAAATTCTATTAGAGCAAAGAAGTCCTAAGAATTCAAGAAAAGAAGATAGGATGACTTTTTATACGACCGCAAAAAAATTTTTGTGGTCGTATATTGGTATGACGTTGGCGTCGTCGTCGTCCGGCGTCGTCGTCGTCGTCGTCCGGCGTCGTCGTCCGAATACACATTAGTTTTCGCACTCTAACTTTAGTTTAAGTGAATGGATCTCAATGAAATTTTACCATAAGGTTCAATACCACAAAAGGAAGGTGGGGATTGATTTTGGGGGTTATGGTACTAACAGTTAAGGAATTAGGGGCCAAAAAGGGGCCAAAAATAAGCATTTTTGTAACTTCCAGACATAACTTGTGTGTAAGTATATGGATCTCTCTGACATTGTACCACAAGGTTCCATATCACAAAGGGAATGCTGGGATTGATTTTGGGGGTAATTGCCTCCAAATTTTAGGAATTAGGGGCCAAAAAGGGGCAAAAAACAAGCATTTTTTTAGTTTCATGACAATTACTTGTGTGTAAGTGTATGGATCTCTCTGATATTGTATCACAAGGTTCCATATCACGAAGGGAATACTGGGATTGATTTTTGGGGGTAATTTCCTCCAAATTTTTGGAATTAGGGGCCAAAAAGGGGCAAAAACAAGCATTTTTCTAGTTTCATGACAATAACTTGTTTGTAAGTGTATGGATCTTTATGAAATTGTACTACAAGGTTCCATATCACAAAGGGAAAGCTGGAATTGAGTTTGGGGGTAATTTCCCAAAAAGTTTAGGAATAAGGGGCCAAAAAGGGGAAAAAAATAAGCATTTTTCTAGTTTCCAGACAATAACTTGTGTTCAAGTGTATGGATCTCTCTGAAATTGTACTGCAAGATACCATACCACAAAGGGAAGGCTGGGATTAATTTTGGGGGTAATTCCCTCAAAATTTTAGTAATTAGGGGCTATAAAAGGGCAAAAAAACAAGCATTTTTCTAGTTTCATGACAATAACTTGTGTGTAAGTGTATGGATCTTTATGAAATTGTACTGCAAGGTTCCATATCACAAAGGGAAAGCAGGGTTAGAGTTTGGGGGTAATTGCCCTAAACGTTTAGGAATTAGGGGCCAAAAAGGGACCAAAAAACAAGCATTTTTCTAGTTTCCAGACAATAACTTGTGTTCAAGTGAATGGATCTCTCTAAAATTGTACTGCAAGGTACCATTCCACAAAGGGAAAGCTGGGATTGAGTGTGGGGGTGATGAATCATAAGGGGGTTCAAAAAATTTGGGGGGGGGGATTTTTTTTTCCTTTTTTTTCTTTAAAATTTTCCATTTTAAATTGGTTATTTCTGAATTATATATAAAAGCAAATAATAATGATATGGTTTGAATAGCATACATGTGAACCTCCCGACAGGAGTACAATATTCAATAATCCCGTTTTCAGGAGTCTCCTCCCGACCTCCCGTTGAAGAGGAAATATGCCCAACATATCATCTCAGGCATCTGAAGTTATATTTTACCTGTAAATCAATTAACATGCATAATTATATGGCTTCACTTGTCAGCTTGGGTGTCAAACATACTGGTAATCAACGATTTTTTACCTCAGGCTAACTGCCGTTGTGTAACAAAAACTGTGTATTTATTGGGTTACTTCCCTTGATTTATCCTGTTTTAAGTTACTTTCCTTTTAATAATGAAATTTTTTAAAAGAATATAAATAAAATATAAATTGAACAAATAATCATAAAAGGATGGTAAATAAATGATTTTAAATGTCTTAGGACAAATAAAAAAATAATAATTTGAAAATTATTTGAGGATTCTATACTTCCTTTCAAGGCTTAAATTGAAATTTATATAATAACTATGACCCCTGTTAAACAGCTAGAATGATTTTTGTCGAGCCTTCGACTCTAGTCGAAAAAGCGAGACATAGCGATCCTACATTCCGTCGGCGTCGTCGTTGTCGTCGGCGGCGTCCACAAATATTCACTCTGTGGTTAAAGTTTTTGAAATTTTAATAACTTTCTTAAACTATCCTGGATTTCTACCAAACTTGGACAGAAGCTTGTTTATGATCATAAGATAGTATCCAGAAGTAAATTTTGTAAAAATAAAATTCCTGTTTTTCCGTATTTTACTTGTAAATGGACTTAGTTTTTCTGCCAGGAAACATTACATTCACTCTGTGGTTAAAGTTTTTAAAATTTTAATAACTTTCTTAAATTATCCTGGATTTGTACCAAACTTGGACAGAAGCTTGTTTATGATCATAAGATAGTATCCAGAAGTAAATTTGTTAAAAAAAAAATTTCATTTTTTCCGTATTTTACTTATAAATGGACTTAGTTTTTCTGCCAGGAAACAATATTTTCACTCTGGTTAAAGTTTTTAAAATTTTAATAGCTTTCTTAAACTATCCTGGATTTGTACCAAATTTGGACAGAAGCTTGTTTATGATCAAAAGCTAGCATCTAGAAGGAAATTTTGTTAAAATTTGTACCTGTTTATCCGTATTTTACTTATAAATGGACTTAGTTTTTCTTCCAGTTAACATTAAATACAGTCTGCAGTTAAAGTTTTTAAAACATTTATTAGATTCATAAACTATCCTGGATTTATACCAAACTTTGACAGAAGCTTCTTACAATCAAAAGATACTATCTAAAGGAGTATTTTTATTGATTTTTTTTCCTCATTTTTGTTGAGCCTGCGATTAACAGCAAAAGTAGGCGAGACACTGGGTTCCGCGGAACCCTTACGAATTTTCTGAGTATGCAAACAAAAGCTATTTGCAGATAGTTAAACAAATGTTCTGGTTGCAATGATTGTTTTATAGAATATGAAGTAAAAAATTTAAAGGACATACTGAAAAAAAAAAAGGTTAGATTGAACATGTAGAATATAAAGATGGAGAAACTTTATAAGTACAAGGGTACTATAAACATAATAAATTGGATGGAAAGTTGAAGAAAACACACTTTAAAAGACCATTTTTACAGCACATGGTTACATTTACGACAAAATTTATGTCGATTAAAAACCTCCTGATCTGAGTCCTAATCTCCTGACCAAAATTTCCCAATCTCCTGATCTGAGTTTCACAGTCCATCACATGTATGAATAGGTAAATTAAAAAATTATAAGTTCTTAGACCACTTTCATTCTGTGTCAGAAACCTATGCTGTTTCAAATATTTAATTACAATCCAAATTCAGTGCTGTATCAAGCTTGAATGTTGTGTCCATACTTGCCCCAACTGTTCAGGGTTCGACCTCTGCGGTCGTATCAAGCTTCGCCCCAGCGGAGCATTTTATTCACTTATATAAGTAAAAAAATCTGAATGTCTAAGGGACATAACTAAGCCAATTTTTTTTTACCTATACATGTACAAGTAAATAGAAATCATATAAGTATCCTACAAATTTACTTACATTGTATATAAGTATATTAATACATGTATTACTTCTTCAAGTAAATAAAAATTACTTGTACAAGTAGTACCCCTGACTAACTACTGGAAGGTGTGGCATGTATAAGGAAGAAAACGTCAATTTTTTCT